ATTTAAAAAAAATAATTAATACATTGTATTTTGTCTTAGTGGTTATTTATTGTACAAGATGCAGACCTGATATCCTGTCTCAAACACTATTAGAACAAACCTCTCTATTCATTGAATTAAGAGAATGGAGCTGTATATCTATCCTAACTATTTTGAGTATACTGATACAAAATGGTCTTTCATTTGTATCCCCATTGAGAAGTTTTCATCTGGGTATGGTGACAATACCCTGGATGAGATCTTCTAAAACTGAGTTTTTATTTGTCTGCTTATTTCTGAGATTAAATAATTAAATAATGCTAAAATGAACATGTATGTGTAAAAACTCAATTTTCTGTGGAATTTTATTTATTTATTTTGAAACTTGGTCTTGGTACATAGTTCAGGCTGGCCTTAAACTCACAATGTAACCAAGGCTGGTCTGAAAATTGTGGCTATCACCCTGCCTCAGTCTCCTGAGTGCTGGGATTACAGGTGTGTGCCACCACACGTGGCCAGCTTGTGTTTTGAAGCAAGGCTCACTAAAGGCTGATGGCTTCTCTACCTCCTCTTGGTTTTTACTTCTTCTTCTTCTTCTTCTTCTTCTTCTTCTTCTTCTTCTTCTTCTTCTTCTTCTTCTTCTTTTTCTTCTTCTTTGTTTTTTGTTCTGTTTTGTTTTGGGTGTTGGTTTTTTTGATGAGTCAGGGTTTCACTATGTAGTTCAGGTTGGCCTTGAATTCACTATGTACCCCAGACTGGCCTTGAACTTGAAGCAATCCTCCTGCCTCAGCCTCCTAAGAAGCAGGATTACAGATGTATGCCATTATGTCCAGTTCTGGTTTTCACTTTTTAATCATTGGTTTTAAAATACCCTAATAGACACATAGACAAACACACATACAGAGAGCTCTACCAAGGAACTATGTCTAATAAAACTTTTTTTCGTCTGTCTGTCTGTCTGTCTTTTTGAGACCGGGTCTCACTATATAGTTCAAGCTGGCCTTAAGGTTGCTGTGTACCCCGGGTTGGTTTTGAACTCCTAGTGTTGCTCCTATCTCAGCCACCCCACTGCTGATGGCTAATTAAATTTTAAGGTGAAGTTGGCCGCTGGGCTTGGTGGCATATGACTATAATTGAGGCTGAGGCAATAAGATCACTGGAAATTTGAGGCCACCTTACATAGTAAGTTCAAAACCAGCCTGGATTAAGCAGCAATATCAATAAAAAAATTAAAAGCAAAGTGGAGACAGTAGATGAGACCTCCTTATGGGGTCGGGGAGATGGCTCAGTAGAATAAGTGCTTCCCTGGCAAGCATAAGGGCCTGAGTTCAATCCCCAGTTCCAGGGGAAAAGCAGCAGCAACAACAACAACAACAACAACCTTGCATATCTGTGGAGAAACAGAAATCAAAAGATAGCGAAGGTGGCAATTCATTTAAATGACATCTGCTGAGCTCCTGTCCAGTGTCACATATGTTGTTAGTGCAGTGGACACAGTGACAACCTGGCTGTGAACTCTGACCTTGTAGCACTTACTCTCAGGTGTGTGTCCCCATGAAGTAAATACATGAGCAGAGAAAATGATTATAAACTGTGATAAGTGCAATGAAAAGAAACCAGAATTCTGGATCCATCAGGATTCTTGACCACAGGCAAGAAAGCCCACCCCCAGCTGGGTGGCACACACCTGTAATTCTAGTACTCGAGGACACTGAGGCAGGAGGGTTCCAAGGTTGAGCACAGCTTGAGCAATTTAGTGAGATCTGCCTCAAAATAAAAAATAAAAACAGGGAAAAAAAAAATAAAAATAAAAACAGGATTGGGCAGACACCTCAGTGTGAAAGCCTCTCACTCCCAGTACTGCAAAAAACAGCAGCAACAACAAAAAGAGTTTGAAAAAACAAAACAAAACGAAGAAGCTGGCCAGATGTGGTGGTGCATGCCTGTAATCTCAGCATGTGGAAAACTGAAGCAGAAAGAGTCCTATGACTTCAAGGCCAGCCTGGGCTACATAGGAGTTGAAGGCTAGCCTGAAATACAGAATGAGACCCTGTCTCAAACAAGAGAGAAAGTACTATATAAACTGTTCTAAATCTGTCCCATTCTTTTTTTTTTTTTTTTTTTGGCTTTTTGAGACAGGCAATCCTTACCATGAAGCTGTCCTGGGTCAGCCTCAAGAGTGCTGGGATTGGGGCCGGGGAGATGGCTCTGTAGAATAAACGCTTCCCTGGCAAGCGCAAGGATCTGAGTTCAATCCCCAATACAGAAAAAAAAAAAAAAAAAAAAAAAACCCAAAAACAAAAAAAACCCTTAGAGTGCTGGGATTATAGGTGTGTGTCTACAGTGTCTGCCTCCAGTTCCATTCTTCCTTTCAAATTGTTACACCATGTTTATGGTGTTTTGTGATGATTTTTTTAAAATTTAATTTTATTATTTTTTGTGATGATTTTTGAGGTTGAGCATATTTTCATATTACCCATGGCCATTTGGATTACTTAACTGTTTATGTACTAACTGTAGTCCTGTGGTCAAGGTCGTCACACTGATCTACATCTCCAGCTTTTTTTATTTTTTAAATTTTTTTAAATTTTAAGACAGGTTTCACTAAGTCATTAAATTGCTCAGATCAGACTCCCAATTTGTGATTTTTCTGCCTCAGCCTCCCAAAGTGCTGGGTTTCTAGATACGTACCACCACTGCTTATAATAGGTTAGTGTTTCCCTGGTGACTTTTAGGATTTCCTATCTTTTCATCTGTCTTGGCCATGTAGAATCTACTTTTCAGTGACAGGCCTATTCACTTTTTCTATTATTATTATTTTTCCTATCAAGTCATCACTTTTTAATTTTGTTAAATTGATCCAGATTTTTGACTTGGCCAAGTGAGTGGTTAATGGTGTCCACCAATGAGTATACTGGGAAAGGAGCAAAATCTGGGGTCAAATCTCTTTGAGACATAGAGCTGAGATACTAAGGAGCCCGTTTGATTTGTGAACCTAGGTTTTTGGTGGAGAGTTCTAAGCTGGAGCAACATTTCAAGGTCATTTCATGAAGTCAAAGAGTTGAATGAAGTGGGTATAGTGTCACAGACCTGTAACCCAGCATGCTGGTGGCTGAGGCAGGAGGATCATTGTGAATTTGAGACCAACATGGGCTGCAAAGTGAGCTCCAGGCCAGCCTGAACTGCACAGCGAGACCCTGTCTCAAAACAAAACAAATAAACAAAAAATAAAAAAAAAGACCAAAAACCACCAAACAAACAAGGAGATGAATATCCCCTGGGAACTGTATAATAGAGAACAAGGACTGAGCTCTAGTGTTTCAAGATTTAGCCAAAGTGGAAAAACCAGCAGAGGATATTTAAAACAAGGCCCTGGAGAGGACAGTACTATTAGGACAGTGTGATGTGGAATAAAGTTCGGGGGAGAGTGTTACAAGAGGGAAGAAGTGGGTCAACTGCTAGTAGCTCCCTGAGGTCAACTCCAGTAAGACTAGAGAACTGATAATTGGTGTTTAGAAATTCAGATAATGAGTAATCTTGAAAAGTGACCACCATGGACTGAAACCAAAGATATATAGAGGAAGTTGCAAGATGAACAAGTCCTGTATACTGGCGTAAACCTTTTTAGGGGATTTATGAAGACTAAAGAGAAATAGGGCAGTCCAGGGAGGTGGTCTTGGAGTCCAGGGGAGGGGCTCATTTTCCAACAGAGGGATTTTAGTATATTTATATGTTGATGAGAGTGGTCCAACGGAGAGAGAAGAGCTCACTGTACTGGAGGGTAAGGTAATTGTAAGAATCACCCCTCCAGGAATGTGGGAGTGAAAGGAATCCAGGTCAGCCAAGGGAGGCAGGGACACTGCGCAGTAAGACAAATGTCACCGTGCAGTTTGGAGACAGGGTTTCACTTTGTAGTGCAGGCTGGCTTTGAACTTGCATTGGTTGTCCTGCCTCAGTCGCCCCAGTGCTGGCATTACTGACGTGGGCCACCAGGCCTGGCAAGAGCAGTTTTGATGATGAGAAGGTGAGGTCAGGTCAGGTATGATACCTTCCATTTTTCTCCATGAACGATAAGGCTGAGTTGATCACTATAAAAAGCAGGAGCTGAGTCAGGGGTAAAGGATTTTTAATAGAGAGCAAAAGTTCTGAAATGTCTCTCGTCAAGCGCACTTATGTATCAATGGACTGGAGAAAGCCTTTACAGGATCAAGCACATCTCCCAAATCTTTCTTCCTTTCGCAGGATCCTTTGCTCTCTCCTGCTATTCCTCACTGTTTATGATTGTATCTTTCTTTTATCAGATCATGTGTCTCCTCATTAGAGGGACAGAGAGATAGGGATCGGGAAAGGACCAGTGCACACAGCCAACAACAGGTAGTCACTGAGTAAGTCCTTGCTGAACAAAGAAATTCACAGATGTAAGTCTTCAGGATTTCTTCTATGAAGCAGGGACAGGGCGGCTTTTCCGCGGCGAACTTTCCTCCGGGAGTTTGTCCCCCCGGGGATGACATCTCCCGGGGCGATCTCCCCGCGCCATCCCGGGGATCGGAGCCAACAACCCTGGAACTGCGCCACGCGCTCCTTCCACGTCCCGGGTCGTTGCTTTCGGCCACCCGGGGCCTCGAAGGTGGCAGGTGCCGCAAACGCCCCGCCGGCTGGGGGAGGGGGCGGTATTGTCTCCAGGACCGCAGCATCGAAGCTCTGCGGAAAAGTTCGGCGGGTCGCGAAGGGGCGGGGCGCAGGCCGGCGTCCCCCCCGGCCCGGCCCTTCTCCGGAGGCGCCGGCGGCCGGGCAGGGGGGCGGGGACGCCGACTGGGAGTAACTGTCAAACCTCGCCGCTTGGCGCCTTTATTTAAATGGTACGTGCGCGTCTCGCAGCCGTGCGTGCCCGGGGCGGGGCTCGGCGCGCCGGGAG